TTGTAATTATGTCGTGAAGGCATGAATAATGTGTCCTGGCCTGGAAGTGTAAGTGAACTTATTAATGTGCCGTGTGACTGTCTGGCACGCGATGAGTGTTTCCCCAAATGAGATACAGAAAGAGAGTGCCAGAGAGAGGGAGAGAGAGAGAGAGAGAAATGAAATATAGTTTAGCGTGACAAGCAGCTGGAGAGTTGCTCTCATATCATGTGCAGAGCGGAGCACTTGAAGTCTTTCGGACACTGCTCAAATATTAAAACGCTCAAGTGTCCAGAACTTGGTCCAGCCAGCCAAATGGCGGCTGGTTGAGTGGGTTAAGTGCTGATGAGCAAGTCGCCCCTTCTCTCTCTCTCACACACCCTCACTCTCTGCTCCGCTCTGCTCAGCTTGGAGTTAATGGCTGACATAAAGCAAAAATGCGACAAGTCAAAGCCATGAAGCTCAGGCCGTTCATGCTGCTCATGCTGCGCTTGCCGTAAATAACTTATTTTTATAAAGTTGTTGGTTTCGTGCTGATTCGACGTGTCTTGCAATCGAGTACACGTGTGTTCCCTCTGTAATTACATACATCTGTTCAGCTCCAGGTAATTAACAGCTACCTGCCGGACTTCGATGCCTATAAATAAATGAGCGACGCAGCTGAGATACACTGTAATAAACTTTATTTCATCATTAATTATTTTATTTGTATTAAGCATTTTCCGCGATTCCCTTCATTTTAACCGTCGAGCTGGTTAGTAGTTTATGCATTTTTAAATAACTCAACTTAAATTATCATTTCTTAGTGTTTGAAAATCATTGGGCTAATCCCAAATGAGAGCCTGATTTAAATTGCAAATATTTCATTATCTATGCAGCACGTAGCTCTACAAAGTCTATAAAGTCTATCCATATAGTATATGCTATTTAAGCAGTCGGAGTATTCGGTTTTCCGTGACAGAATTATAATGTGAGCGCTTCAGTGTTGCGAAATATTCAAGAGAAGTCCACAAATTTTCAAACGAGCCGTGAACAAAAGAAAATTTATATAATTTTCATTGTTTGCATTGCTGTTTACCTTGTGAGTCGACAAGCTGCAACAATATATACACTATAAATAATTATAATCAGTAAAGTCGCGCAAAGAAATTAAAACAATTTTACGGACTTTATTTTCAATCATAAAAATCAATGTATACACATATATATATATACATACATACGCAGCAAGTGATATTAAATATTCATTATAGTAATCTACATGTGGAACCGTCGGAAAGTGAACTTTTTGGCTTTGCGACTAGAGCAAACAGTTGTCAGTTTTCAAGTTTGAGTCGCTTTTAGGCCATATTGAAGGCATAATTCAATGCGCATTTACGAGGCGAGGATGTCTGTGGCCAAAGAAAACTTTTCTCTCAACTCGACAAAAGTAGAATATTGAAAAAGGGAGATACACACATTGAAAGAGTGAGACAGAGAGAGAGAGAGAGAGAGAGAGAGAGAGGTGGAGAGAGAGGGGAGACGGGAGAAAGTCGCACACTTTATATGCTAGCGAACATATTGAATTCCAATTTTGCGCTTGAAAGTTAACGTGCTGCCATTACATTAAACGTGATGAGAATTAACAGCTTGTCAGGCGAAGGCAAGTGTCCGTAGAGCACACACTTGGCCATAAACACCCACCCACACACCCACACCCACACCCACACACACACCCACAGCCACACACACACACACACACACACAGATTCATTCGCTGGCGAGAATAGAAATGTTTGCCTGTTTGCTTTAGGCGTGGCCATGACAACGCTCAGCCTTAGGCCATACTTAATTCAATTTGATTGCCGACAAATAATGCTGAGTGTCTAATTATTTTTCTATCACGCTGTGCCGCCTAGATTTACCCCATGTGCAGCGAGGCTGGACCATAAACCACAGCCGCGCTTATTGAATCTATGTTCTGGCCGATGCTGCGTATACGCGATAGCGCTAATGCCACCACAGAACCAGCACACCCCACGCCCACATGACATGCAAATCTGACCCACATTAATTGCAGATATTCTCACCTAACAATAGCATAATACCGCATTCCCATTATGCCCATTCGCGCATCGATATAAATCGTATGCACATTTCTTGCGCTCTAAGCCGATTTGCGATTAATTACGAAAATTAGTGATTCGCTTTGAAGACAGTACGTCTCATTATGTAAGTCATTTGCTAATAATCTTGAGCAGCTCAGCTTAGTCAATAGAGTGAGTCATGGCCCGTTTGATGTTGCGGCTATGAAAGTGGGTTCTTGAGATTTTACCTTCTCTTATAAGTATGACAAATATAGCCAGATACTATAAATATAAAATATCAGGAAAAAATCCACTCAATATTATAATTTTGGTATCAAGCTCTTTCCATTTACTTGTAGGAAAGATAAGAAAATAAGAAAAGCGATATTAAATGAAACTATACAATTTCGATATATCATTTTCGAATTATAGCAAAATTAGTATTCAGATCAAAAGTATTACTGATTATTTATCATTTGACTACTCCAAGGGTCTTACACTTCTGGTTAAGTGGAAAACTTTATATCGATTCAGTTCATGCTGGCTCTGAGTACCTAAAAACAAGTTTAATGAAAAGTTTAAATTGTATTTTTGTTTCTAAGAAGTCAAAACTAAAAATAAAAATGAAAGAATATTCAACTCACTCCATACAAATGTTTAATTGCAATTTGTGGTCAAACTGGTCAAACTAGTGCGGTTGACAGACATACAGAGGGAAACATGGTATGGGTTTGTATTCCAATTTAAATATTTAATGACATTTTTGGAAGGAAGCCAGGCAGAGCTGAACAAAGCGAATTTAAATCGAATGCTCAGCTGTCACATGCCCAGAAGCGTGATGGAAAAAGTGTTGCATAATGAGCGCCATTAAATGTACAAAATCAGCAAACCTTTTACACTCGGACACACGCACACACCCACACACCCACATACCCACACACACAGCCAACCGAATTGATAGAATGACCCGACTTTTTTTCACGACTTGGCAAATTGTCATATCGTGCGCCTTTTGATGGCAATTTAAGTTTTTATTTTTTTGGAAATTCTGTTGCCGCAGACTCAATAAAAGAAACTTGCAAAAACATGAAAAAAAAAAACGAGTTAATAGAGGGGACAAAAAATTGTGGAAATTCCGTTAAATTCAAGTGGCGCGCACTGAGCATTGGCAGCCAAATGCCAAAGCGGTTTATGACACAAATGCCACAAAGGCCAATAAAAAAGGGCCAGAGAGTCGATGAATAGAATAGAATTCTTGTGCGATGCTGTCCATGCTAATGCGACTGTGAGTGGGAGTGGGATGGGGAGTGGCATTGGGAGTTGGTGGGGGAACATAAGCTGCGGTCAGCAGATAAATGACACACATATACTAGACATATAGCACCGCATATATACATACATAGATTGTATAAGAAATACCGAAGTGAGTGCTGCCTGAGCAGAGGTCCTGCCTGTGAAGGATTGTGCAATCAAATGCATTGACACCGGCCACTAACGAGAGCCGAGCTGGGACACAGTTGCATTGCCTTCCTGGCAAATCAATTCAATCAATTGGCCAACGGGGTCAACTGTATTTCTTTGTTCTTTCCCTCTTTTCCTCTATTCTTTTTTTTGAGACAACTGTCTCGTTTGTCTGACAACAATTTCATATTTATTCTTGTCTACTTCTCGTAATTCTATAACAATACAAATCGAGGCTACTTGCGGCTGCTACTGTCACTGCAATTTGCAGCAAGAATAATGTTTAAAAGCAATGCGGTAACATTGTTTGAGTAATCAATTTGAAGTTAGTTTATAACATTAACTGGCCTCGAATTGAATTTTAAATGTAAGTGGAGCTGGCTTATAATGTGGAATAGCTAATAATACCAATATTACCCTTTCAATCTACCCCTTGACCTTAAGCAATAGTAGAAGTTGTGATTATAATTTAGAAAATGCACATGATATATCTGACTGTGCAATATTGTCCTTTCAATCTACCCTTTAATCTTAAGCAATAGTAGAAATTGTCGATTATGATTTTTGCATGCCTTTAAGGTTTCTCTATGTGAGTGAAAACTGTTCGCACAGCTTGACATTTTATCCATCACACTGATAATCGCTTGCCGGCACTTGCCCTTTGGCCTTGGCCCAGTTAGCAGCCAAGTCTCACATGAACCGCTTGTCAGGCTGCGTCTGTGTGGGCCGCTGATGATTGTTTCAGTCTGTTTACGCGTTTACAGCTGCACTCACATAGATACACACCCATTTGATGGCAGCCCTGCAACGGAAATGAGAACAAGTGCTGTTGGTGGAACGTTCAATGGACATTAGAGCCGGCATTGGTAGCGCTGCGTATGCAATGGGGCTCTCGTAATGCTCTATTGAGTGCGCGTTTTGGACACGCGCGTGATTTTAATGCTTATCAATAATACTTAGCTGCGAGAACAGGTGTACGAATTTCAGTGGATTTGGCCGACAATTTATGAGCGAGCGTCTGCTTGGCGTTCCATTAGAATGCTGAGCCAGCAGTCCTCGCTGAGGGCATATAAAAATCTATGCATTGTACGTGCCGGTAGCTTAAACACCGGCCTTCAGCTCAGCGCAGACAGTGTAGCGTCTTTATGAGTGTAATATATGTCAGCATCGTATATCTCACATGTATAATAGGTATTCGCAAGTAAATTGCTGCTGCTTTAATTGCCTACAGTGGATTGACCGCAAAATTCGAATCGTTTTTCGTTTTTCAATTTCAATTACCTTCTGATTGCATTGCGGTTGGCCAGCAGACATTCCACAGAAGTTTGTCCTTTTGCAATAACATTTTAAATATACTTGTCAACACAAAAGAACATCGTCTCCCAGCTCCAGCTGCTCTTTAATTGTAATATTAAAATTCATTAAAATTCATATTAAATATTTTCGTCAATCAACTCAGGAGTCCTTTGTCAAACCATTAAATTTTATCGATAATAGAAACTTGATTTTATAGCGCCGTAAAATGTTTTCTTAATTACACTGTCTATGTGTATGTTAATTACAGAGTCTATGAGGTGGATGGGGTCCATTGACGTGACGGGAAACGTGTTTCTGATGAGCTCAACAGAAATTTGTGGCTGTGCGTCAAGTCAGCATCAGCAACATAATTCTGTATGCTTAAGTAGATTTATTAATTATTCTTATCAAGTTGTTATCATATCTGATATATATGTGTTCTTCACAAACTAAAGAAAACAGCATAATTTGCGAAGTGGATTTGGCGAGTGGGAGCCGAGTGACTCCACTGCTCGATTATGGACTACTTTATCCAAGCCATCTAATCAGTGTGTCAAGCTTCTATGCTTACAGCTAACAGCTTACATCTCGTGAGTATGGCCTATGCCTATTGGCAATGTCAAAAATAATAACGCGAGATAAACAAACGCAATTGACATGCAAATACATTTTTCGGCAATGCCCCAGCTCCACTCGACGCTCAGCGCAAATCCTACAAGGAATTCCGGCGCAGTTAGTATAGAAGGCGAATGTGAATGTGAATGTGATTGTGAATGTGAATGGGGATATTCGCCTTCTATGCCCCCACGCCCACATTGTTGCTTTTGCCCACACAATGCCAAATCAAATATTTTGCATTGTTTTTGTTTTGAGCTTGGCTGGCGTTTGGCTTTGGTTTCGAAACAAATATAAAATATTTGCTCATACGTCGGCAGCGCGCTTTGTTCTCAGATATCCTATAACTGTAAATTGAGCGTGGGAGCGAAATACATACAACACGAATTGTTATTGATTAACAAAATATATGTTTAAAATTTGGCGATACTTTGTCTAAAAATGGAACTTATATAAGATTAATCTTTAGTCTATTTCCTATGATATAATCTGTTATACTTGCAATTATTTAGTATATAAATAAAAATATCTATTATTATCTCTCTGTTTCTTTTGGGTGCAGGGTATCTGCTACCAGATATAACTTATGCCTTTATTATTGTGGGGTTGACACAAGAAATCAGCACGCAGAGCGTAAGACAGATACTCAGATTGAGCTTGTCCCGGTCGGAGCTCAGACAACCTGCCGCTGGCGCTCTAGACTGAAATAAACAAAATTGAAGATGTCAGCTAAATGTTGGCAATATACATATAAATATATACATATATACATATACATATACTATATGTATGATCATGTGTGCCAACAGCCAGCAAGCCAGATAAACAGAAAAAGGCAGAGCACTGACTGAGAGGGGGAGGGTGTGGGTAGGCAAGAGATATGTATGTACATATGTATATAGCGTCTAGCTGTGTGGCTTTCGATTTATGCATGTTAAACCACACGCACTGGTAAACAAGTCCAATTAGCATAAATTTTGGGCATTTCTATGGCCGTTTATTGCGAACGTTTGCGTTTTTTGTGTTTATGATATTTGGCCGCTTATGTTTGGGCAATTGTCTGTTGGCCGTTCTATTATTATTATTCCAGTCGTTGTCATCGACCGGAAATAGCCAGCTTAATTTACTAATTGTTTTCATTAATTAGTGCGCATCGTTTAGTCGGCTTATCCGCTTAGCCAGATTTTGATTATACGTACGTACGTACGTACATACTTACATATGCTGGCCGTCAGCAGTGAAATGTGCCAGAGACTTGCTCCTGCTCAAGGATGTGCCGCTCAGTGACCCACTTCTGTTTCGCCTGCACAACTCTTGTATTCCACAATTCCACAATTGACAGCCAGAAAGAAGAGTTGGAAAATAATGTGAAAGGCATCGGAGTTGGAAGCACATCCCAACATGAATAGTACATACTCTTTGCATGTATAATGAGCTGCCTTCTAAATTAGAGATTGCGAAAAGTTTTTGAGAGATTGGCAATAGTGAGAGCTTGTATTCCTGCTGGTTCGTCCAATAACTCTGAAAGGCTCCGATTGTCTGCGAGCAAAGTGCAAAGATTCGGCAAGTCGAGAACTGAAATCTGAAAGAGATCGCAGCCGCATTGCCTGACCTGCAATGCCCTCGAAGTGAATTCCATCAGCTGACGGCAGGCAGCTTAAGTTTCTGCTTCGTTAGCTCTGCAGCTGAAATGCACTTGATCAAAAATGGCGCGTAGAGAAAATGCATGAAAAGGAAAAGGACTTTGGTGCAGCAAAGTGAAATCAAACAGCAGCCCAAGCGCTGCCATCAGACGGCGGTCCTGGCGAGGGCCGGGGCGGGGCAGCCGGTTGCAGCTGGCAAGTTGGCCGTGCCACATGTCGGTTACAATTGAGTGCAGTTGACCCATTTCACACACATTTGAGGCTAGCTTGCCGGGCAGCTTCAGCTGGACAGGCAGTTGGTAATGAAAAAAAAAAAACCATAGCCATTGCCATCAAGTCGACATATATTTTATTTCTGGCTGCCATGTGGGCAATGTTTATAATTGCAAAAGTTCCATCCTGCAGCGGGCATAATTTTCAAAAACTCTAAGTATATTTATGTATAAAGAGAATTACTCTACTTAGACTCTCTGCTATGGCTGCCTGCCATATGGCGTCGGGCTTAACAGCAGCTGCCAGGGCTGGCCAGCAAAAGAGTTTCGGCCAGTAGCAGTCATTTATGTATATACATGTATGTATATATGTAAATATTTCTAAACTGAGCAGTTGCTAATACTCTTATCAGACTGCACTCTAAATGTTTAACGTGGGCAATTAAAAATATTTCTTATTTATTTATGATGACATCGAAATGCAATCGAAAGTGTCTGGATTATATATTGCAATGGTCAGTAGCAGGAGGAGGATAGACAACAAAGATATTCCGTGAATATAAGAGATGAATCTACGCTAAACTCATGCATAATTTCAACCCTTAAATCTAGTGCGTCTATTGCTGAGTGTGTAAGGCTCAGCATTGGTCTATTACATATTCATATCTCATCGCAGAGTTTGTAAGACTTCCCAAAGTAAATTTCTGGAATTTAAATGTCATTATAGATGGCATGTGAATTATATGTAAATTTTTTAATATATAATATGACTAATCTCATATCCTTTAAATAATATACAAACAGCTTTCTATGGCATGCATTGCATTGATGGCCATTTTTTTTTTTGGAACTGGATTAACGTTTGGTCTTAGTGCTAGCCAAGTTTAAAGAAACTTTCTTCGTAATATACTAGTATGTTGTAGCTCAGCGAGCGCAAACGCTCATTGCCATTATTCATGGGATTAGCTGGAATTTTGCATTGTGCTAAAATTGAAGCGCCTGCCAGGAGCTTTGCTTTATGTACGGCGGAAAAGTTTGCGGAAGATTGGAGCCTGGCCAACTAGGAGTATGTTGTGGCCGCAGAGTAAATGTGGCTTCGACTTTGCGCCGTGTGCCTGGATAACTTATTAAAATGCGCACGTGTCGACGTGCAGCAGTGCCAGGAGGCGCATGCAGATACGCCCAGCCGTGCGACTGTATACGCGTGCTGGCATAATAGGCATTACTCATACGCCGTGTGTAGCGCTAGCTGAGAGTCTAAGTGTGAGTGTGAGTGTGAATGTGAGTGTGAATGTGAGTGCGAGTGTGAGCTACTGCCAGTCTTCAGTTGAGCTCTATACGCACGCGAAAAATCAATTATTAAAATGGAAATATTCTTGTGTGGCTGGCGTGGAAATTTAAATGCATATGTGAAACGACAAACACAAATAGGGCGGACGCAGTGGGCGTGGCCAGCATCAGCAGCAGTGCAATTTAACTAACAAAAAAAAAAAAAAAAAAAAGGTGAAAGAAGAAGAAGAAATATTTACTGGCCAGCAGCAGCGCTGGCTCGAACAAGTCTCTGGCAACATTTTTAATCAATTTGTGAGGCTTTTTGCAATAGACGCAAAGTGAGAGCGACAAAACGGTAAAATAAATACTACGAAAAATACTTTAATCTTGACGTTTACTACGGGCAAAAAAAAAAAAAAAAAAAAAAAACACAATTTTTAAGCGTCTGTCACTAAAAAGAATACGTTGAAAAAACTCAAAAGTAAAAGAAAAAAAAAAAAATCACGTAACTATGCCAACACGACACGCAGTTGAAAAAAAAAAAAAAAAAAAAATCCTCACACACACAAATGCACTCACAGGCACACGTACTCATAGTCACAAAGTGAGACTTACGAGTGCAATGTGGTTGATGTGTGTGCGTGTGTAACTGCGTGTGTGTGTGTGTATGTGTTCTGAGGTAGCTAATTTAATTGCCAGCGGTAAAAAAAAGAAAAAAGTTTTGTGGCACGCTTGGAATTTGTGGAAAGTTTTAAACATTTCCAGAGCTCTGTCTAAAGCAAAACAAGTTCAATTTATGAGCCGCACGCAAATGCAAACACGACTTTTGCAATTTACTCTTTCAATTTTAATCGTGATTTGTTATTTAATTAGAAAATTTGCAAAATAAATCCCCCAGCCTCAACTGGCCGTACACTATTTGAAAACTAATTTGATTCCCAAGAGTCAACAGTAAATAATCTGAAATTCTCAATTAGCTCGATATTGACTTAGCGGGTGATAATTAATGCACTAGGTGTATCTATTTACAGTTCAGTTGAATTTGTTATTATGTATTTACATTTGTTAGTTAATTATTACACTAGGCAGCAAAACTGATGTAGAATTAAGTCTATAGAAAATCAGTTTGTGGTTGAGGAGCAGATTTCATATTTAGGAATATATCATATCATTTATTCTATACAAATTGACAGTAAATACTGAATAGTGTTGGATAGTGTAGCCTAAGAAAATTGATTTTAGTTTACAAATGCAAATAGTGACATTTATTTGGGAAAAAGCTCAAGCCATTTACCATAACAACAACTGCTATGTATTTACTTGAATTTACTTCAAACTATGAAGACATTAGCTGTAAATGTGTTTGCTTTTGAGCTGCGCGTAGATGCGTGAGAGTGCGAGGCATTAGCAGAACTTGTTGCCATGCTAATTAAGATTAAAATTATTTATGAGCTTATGCTATTAGCTTATTTATGCTGCTGTTGGCTGGCTTTCCTCGGAAATGGCATGCGAATAAGGTTGCGGGATTTGCGTATGCATGAAATTAGGAGCAAGTGAGCTGACGTGGGCTGGGCTGGGGTCAGCTCATATAGCAGCTGATTGGCTGAGAGCAGATGGGATTTGTTGACTCTCGGCTGGCAGCGGGCTTTTCAACTCCATTTGCCACTTAAGTTATTGCCTGGCAGAGTCCGCAAGCATTTTATTATCCTTTGATCTTGTTTAGAAGCAATGCAGAGGACTTGCGAGTTTCACAACTTTTAAGCTGCTTACCGACTGGGCTGGGCCAGCAGCCGCAGACTAAGATCTATTTGCTTAATAAATGAATACTCTTTGGCATTTGTGATTTGTGATTCATTAAAGCCCTAGGCCATTTTCCTTGGCCACACTTAAAGATCTCTGTGTGCGAGCCATTTTTGCTATCTGATAACAGCTGAATATAATTACATTATACTGAGAAAAATTACTTTGCAACAGAAAACAAAGCTAAATTCTCTTCGGTCATTAATCTTCATAATTTCTTTTACTGCTGCTTGTTTTTAAAGTTGTTTTTTGTTTTGCTGCTTGTTCTATTTCGAATGGCTGCAGAAGCAGTTCATAATTTTCGCATTTAAAAGAGCTACAGCTACAGCTAATGTTAAAAAAAATGTTGAAAAATATATTTAAAGAGAAAATGATACAGCCAAATAAGACAAAATAAGCACTGAAAAAATAACTAAATATAAACTATATAGTTATAAAAAAAAGTAAGTATGTATATATGTATATACATAATTTTTTATAATTCTGTAAAGC